TCTCGCTATAAGCGTAATATGGCTCTCACGGGGAGCATGTCTCGCCTAGTGCTAGACCGAACAGCCACTTGCCTCAAGGAACCACTCTGTTGGGCCAGGCAAGTTTGCTTTGCTTCTTTCGCATTTTTGTGCATTTTATTTATTTATTTTTTAACTAGTGTTCATTGCATGTTTTAAAAAATGGCAGTAGAAACAATTTTTTTGCGGTAGGCAGTATAAAAAAAAGTTCACGCAACTTTTAGAAAATGTTAGTACAACTCACAAAACATTATTCGTGACATTTAAAAATTGGTCACATATTTTTTTAAACATGTTTCATGTCATTTTAAATAATGTTTATAAATGGGACAAAATATTTGCATAACACAAAAACCAGTATCATGCTATTCAAAATATCTTCATGATACTTTTGAAAGTCTGAGCATTCGGAGAAAATATTCGTATTTTTTTAAAAAATGTTTATACAATGAAAAAATGTTCATGTAGTATAATAAATGTTTCATGGATTTAAAAAATGTTCAATGTATATTTAAGAAATACCTAACATGTATGCTAAATTTTTTTCAAACATTTATTTGAAAAAATGTACATAATGTATTTAGAGAACATTCAACATGTATCAAAAGTTTGTCTCACCTGTATACAAGAAAGTACAATGTGTATTGAAAAAATAGACGTGTGTTGAGAAAAGGCAAAGAAGGAAAAGGAAAAAGAGAAAAACGAAGAAAACCGGTGAATAAACATAGAAAACTCAGGGCCGGACCATTTTTCCTCTGCTCGTGTATTCTGTTCATGCAATGACTTTCTCGACCATGAAAAGACGGTAAACGACGCCACCCCTCCCTCTCATTCTCTGAAGTCTTCTTCACTCCCAGTGACCAACTACTTTCAGGAGCAGCTAAGAAAAGAATGGCAGTTAGGTGAGAACGGTGACTAGCTCCTATGAATGTAATTGACCTAAAAAAGCAACAGACAGATCGTGTGCCCCCTAATTACACCCATATACTTGTATAGAAATTACATGACAAATTGTGCATTCACAAGGTGCCATGTACAACAATGTGTAGCCTCATTGATCAACTTATTAAGCAAACGACATGTACCGTCCATAGCATTGTATGTTTGAGAAATCTAGTAAGCATTGATGAGTCTAGAAATCTTTTGGTTGTAATTTCGATTGATCACAAGCACAACAAATATGCACAGTCCAAGTAGGTATTGATTAATTTTTTTAAAAATTGCGTTGGATCAAGTACATATTAATGTGTTATTATCATATTACTCCGTGCTATCCATTTTAACTTTTGTAGTACTACCGGTTGATCCTGGAGCGTCTGGACCACATTTGTCGCCCATCTATGTCTCATGCATGTATTTTGTTTTCGCAACACTCTTGATAAATATGCGTATTTAACAAAAAACTACACATTTCATGGAAACGTTCCTACAAACTACCATTTTACAAATTTGTGCCGAAAATTACCATTTTCTCACTAATCCTTGACTAAAAACTACCATGTCTGAAAAGAGCCCGATTTCCCTCTTTTAAACGCATTTCTGACTGGTTGGGCCCACACATAAGCGTTGACGTGGCACATTAGCCAAATCCATTAGATTGACCGCTATGACATGTGGGGCCCACATGCATGCCAGTCTCCATAAAGAAACAAATGTATTTTCCCCAAAAGAAGATTCTGAATCAATATCTGGTTAGAGCCACCCGAGCTCATGTGCGGCCTCCCATGGCGTAGCTCTCACGGGGCAGGCAGTTGGTGGTCGCCGCCGGCCCATGGGGCGGCGATGCTCGACGTCTCCTCCCGGTCGAGCGGAGGCAGCGGCACAACGGGGCGAAGATTTTGGCCGGATCCGGCGAGGAGGCAGGGCAGCGGAGGTTGGGGAATCCAGTGGCGGAGATGCTACGACATTTAGCAGGTGCGGTGGCTCGACGAGGCATCTTTGTGTAGAATGGAGGAGAGAGAGAGGTTAGGAGAGGGAGGGAGAGAATGATGGGAGAGAGATGGAGCGGTGGAGACATTCCTGGC